AAGAGAGTAAGAACGCGAAACATGCGCTAGTGCAAGAGAGCGAAAAGATGAAGGGAGAAGGCGCTTACAAAGGGGAGAAAGAAAGAGAGATAGAAAGAGTCCATCAAGCAAAACTCACCCTGTTGCATTCCAGAGCCTCCGCGCTGTGCTCCTCCTTCTGCTTGAAGCAGCTGCTGCACTTGCTCTTGTTGAATATGTTCGGCGCGAACTTCCTGCACTCGGCGCCGGTGCCACGGACGCCCGCCGTGCCGCCCGACATCGCGACACGTGCGAATTAACCGCGACGACCGGACAGCAGCATCGTTCGTCTCTCGCCCTCCCTTTTTTTTTTTTTTTTCTTCTCCTCGGTACGCCGTTAACCAGCGAGAACAAGCTCCTCGCTGATATAAGATTCTACTCTTCTCGTTGATTCCCCTTTATCGACGCGCCGTACACGCTCCGCCGGGAGGGTTTTATATTTACGCGCGGAAATAATTCGTTTACGCGCATGCGCAGCGGCGTGGTACGCTCGGCCACTTGTCCGTGCCCGTTACGTTAACGGATCGAGTTAACAGGATTTTGTATTCCAGAGAGAGAAGGCGAGGATAACACTTATCCAATGATACGTTCACTCTCTAACAGTTGCAATCTCTTGCACCGTGATACCGGCTTCGTGACACGATCAAGATCCCACGATGTGATCGAAGCTTCGTTTGCTTGAAGGGCAAAGTGTGATTCGGTCGCCGGTGTATGAGAAGCGGTATATTACGTTCGCGATACTAGCGCCAGAGAAAAACAAATCGCTGGGGTATACCAGCTTGTTCGAGTTGTTTGTTTACTAGCTCTTCACGAGGCACGAACGTGCTTACTCAGTTTCAATTTCGTAATAAATATGTGACTGCGTCGTGCGTGTTTACAATACCTTCGTGTCACGCGGAAACACACGCGTTACGTCGTCGACATTGACTCGATTCGACGAATACGTCTACTCCCCGCCGTTTTGTATCCCCTCTGCGTTCCCTTGTTGCGGTCGAATCGTTTGTTGACAAGTTCAATAGGTATATCGTTCCCTGTTCGATGGAGCACGTGGATTATTCGCGGCACACCGAATCACACTGTTCTATTAATAGACACACTGGCACGCACTGTAGTTAACATGTCACAGCACCGTTCACCGATCTATCGACCGCACGACAAATCGATTGTCGAACGCACGTGCGTATTGATTGCTCGATCGATGGAAGAGCACTCTTTTATTCGGCGATGAAAACACGCCTTCGAACCGTACAGACGTGGCTCCGATGTAATTATTCGACTGCCACAGTTCACGATATATATCGATATAGTAGCACCAACAGCACCGCGATCCTTACGCACGCCTATCTTTGTTGACTGTCACTCTGATAATCTCGCGACACGCTCCGAAATACTACACACGCGACGACTACGGTAACGACCACGACGATGACGACACTTGAGCACACTTACGACACGTCGCGTTGTGCTCTCCATGACAGAACGCTCCCGCGGACGTCCATCTGCGATCTGGCCCGTTTAACTCGGCCTCTATGCCGCCGGCAGCGCTCACTCTCGCTCGATCGACCGTAGCACGCCCTCTCGGCGCCGATACTACGCCAGCGCGGAATCTAGTGCCCCCTATGATTCTCCCGTAGCGTGCAATGCGCAGGCGCAACAATTTTTCAATTTTTTTTCAGTTTTCATATTCTTTACATTCCTTAAATGTACAACTTTTTATTTATACCTATCTGTATCACCAGAAACTTACACTGAAACATACAAAACAGCATAATTAATACCAATATTCGTTTAAAACACATGCTCAACATATAAGCTTTATGAATAAACTGAAATGTACTATAATTAAATACGATTATTCAGCGGATAATTCATTCCGCAATAAATGACGATAATGTAAAAAATTGTATTATGAATAATGTAATTTTCAGATTATGTAATGGGATATGTAACTAGAAGATTTAATAAAGCTTGTGTTCAATTTTCTTTATCGGTAAATATAGAAAAACTTTTCAGAAGGAAAGTGTTCTTTTATATAACGTGCTACTGATAGATACATACATGAAATTGTATTTTAATAGTTTTACCTTTTATTAAATAATTCAAATGTCACCCTTTCAACGTTTGCAAAGTTTAAAATTTTATGAACGTGTATATTTGAACAAACTCAAAATATAAACTATTACGGCTCAAGTCATGCGAATGCTTAAATAAAATCAGCTGATGTTTGCTTCCGGTTCAATGTTCGAGTTTTCTTTTCCGGTTCATCCAGTCCAACGTTCCAGTGTTTGGAAGACTGACTGTAAAGATGGTAGATGAAGCTGGTGACAGGTTCGTAGGCGAAGTTATTTTCGGCTTTTCATGCGAAATTCATTACTCCTATCTAGTTCAAACGTACACAACGCAATTTCTTATGATGATATAAAATATATGTTTAAATAAAGTTATTAACCACACATATATTCCCTGGAATTCAAGAGATTAATCTTTCATAATCTCCTCTACTTATCCGTGAATATTTCGCTAACTTGTAAAATTCCACCTCAAGGTGAAGCTGAAAATCACTGTTTACTGAGAATTCATTATTTTATGCGTTACATTTATTATTCTTGCAATCTTTTCATGTTTCTACCTGGTTCCAATATAATGTTTCAATTGTTACTATGAATATTTATTCATTAAATTCAGTTTCAGTTTAATAAAACGTTAGCTAAACATTCAACATTAGAAATAATGCTTTGTCTCTGTCATAAATGTGTTTGTATTCAAACAAATCAGACTCTGATTAGTTGCAATCAACATCTTACATAACACACAAAAGAATTAATATTTGATAATCATTATAAAATCTAGTACAAATGATTGGATAATATATACAAATACAAATAAATTTTAAATGGCAGGCAAATCTAGATATGTTTAATTGGTTTAAATATCATCATAAATTTTATAATTATTAATCAGTTATGTTTTTACGTGAATGCAATTGCAATTGTAATTTATGTAACTTGTATAAAATGCTTCTTCACAAATTAAATATATATTTCTTGCAGGGATGATTCTGCAAATGTTGCCATTATTAGAGAGGTGTATGATAATGAGAACGCACATGAAACGTTCGAATATGAACTAGAAAGAGCATTAGAATCAGAATGCAATTTAATTGTTATTGAACCATCTAAACTAGGTGATGAAACCTCCAGGTGGATAGCAGTAGGTAACTGTCTTCATAAGACTGCAGCATTATCGGGTCTTGCAGCCATAACCACAGGTTTGTAAAACTTATACTTTGCTTCATATATACCATTATTATTTATTAAAATTATATTATTATGTATTTTATAGGTTTGATTTGGGGTGACAAACCCTATATCTGTGGTCCATTAGGTTTTATATCTATCATATCCTGTGGACTTTATACAGTTTCATGGCAGTTTGACCCCTGTTGTCAGTACCAGGTTGAAACTGACACAAGTAAGCTACCACATGTAGAATTGCTAGCTGTTTTAGGACCATCATCTCCAACATTTCTTGTAAAAAAAGATGATACAAGAAGAAGAATTCTACACACAACTATTACATTGGTAGCACTCAGCATCAGTGCCTGGAGAGTGTATCAGGCATTTAAATGAAATGATTGCTATCCAGACAGAAAGAATCTAAATTATAAAAACCAGTAAGGTAGGCCGTACGATGCATCGTATATGATCGTAGTAAGGCCTAGTATAGAAATTTGTGAATTACAATTTCATGTATATTAATGGGGAATTGTTGAGCCATACTATGAATCTGTTTTCATTTGATGTTTATATCCTTTTTATGTTTTGACTCTACCTCAAATGAACGGTATTTTTACGAAGAAAAAATAAAGTAGAAATACATAACACAACAGATTAGAAAACAAAATTTTCAACATAAAGCATGATATCTCTTAAGGCTCCAGATTGTCAGTGTATGATCTCCATCTTGTTGATTATATTTTGCAGTTAATTTTAATACAGAAAAAAAGACACAATCATATTCACACACTTTAAGTGAAGCAACTACTGCTATAAGTGTTCTTAGAGTTATACGAAATTGCAACTATACATCTGGACAGTTGAATTTAGAATTATATATTTTTAGATTGTAAATAAAGTAGATAGAATACACTGCATATGATATACTACAGAGAATGTTGCATAGATTTTCTCACCCAGTGATATAGCCCAGTTGAAAGAAAAAAAATATTGTATACACAAAACAAAAAATATATTACGTTAACCTTATTGTCATTTGGCAATCGTTGTAATCAGCATAATAAACATAACTTTTGTTGGTTATGTAAGCCTCTTGTGCTACATACAAAGAATTTGAATATCAAAAATAAACGTCAAAAACATTCCGGAATGAACAATGATAACAAATATTATATAATCTAATATATGTATATCAACTTTTTGAAAGACTTGCAATTCACAAATTTTTACATTTACTTGTATATACACGGAAAAACTAATAAACGAGCAAAAATACATATACATACAATGCACTTCAAGTATTTCTGTAGTAAAGATCTCGGAAAATATGCGAAAACTAAGCAACATCTTTTGTAACCATTAATATCATTTACCTTTGTAACAAGCAAGATAAAAATGTTGCGATTTAGAACACAAACAAGATATCCATTACTTCAAAAAAACATTACGTACTATATAAGCTTTTTTTTAATATATAAAAGTATAAAATTTATTTAAACTGTGTGTGTTTTTTTTTTTATCATTTATCTACTCAGCTTTGATTTTAAAGAATTTGTAGTATAAAACGGAAGAGAATGAAGTTAGTGGTCACAAATATTTTAAGTAATATTTAAGAATTTTCCTGTTTTTTTTGCATAATATTTGTTTATATATCAAAATTCAATAAATCAAAAACTTGCTTAATTACTTTATGTTATCTGCATTTCATATATTATACAAGTACATACTTTAGTGTAGTTACCTAAAAGTGTGTATTTGTACTATACTTCTTTTTAATTATATTATTGTTAATTAAACTTGATACTAATAATATGAAAGAATATATTAAACATTACAAAACATCACTAATAAATAAAAAGGATATATAAATAAGAGTTACTAATCCTGCCATGACAACAAAATATACCAATCACTGTATATTATATAATATACTTTAAATATTCGAAGTATTAGCCAAATATCTGTCATGATACCACAGTGATTGCACAATTGTAACATATAACAAATAAAATATCAGAAATGAAATAGGCTCCAATTTTGATGAATGATACGTTGAATGAATTGTTATATGTCACTTATAACTCCAAAAGACTATTGCTCAGCATTTTCAAGCATTTATTTTAGATTTATTTGAAATTTATGCAAATATATCCAGTTTATAGACATTTACTTTTTAGAATTTTTATTACATTTATAAAACAAACTTTCACAATTACTTATTATTAAATAGCGGAATTTTACGAAACTTTTCAAGTTACAGGTGACACGCGTATTTAAGAGTGCTTAATTTCGTTAAAACATTTGTAGTATTAAAATGTATATAATGTAAACATATTCCACTTCTAAGTGGCATAATAAAATATAGTTTTGAATATAACTATTTTTATTACACTCCCGAAATTCCCTAGTTAAAAATTACTTGAATTGATAATAACAACGGTGTAAAATAATACAAAAATAGGTGCGATAAATCAAACAAAACATGATACAGAAAAAATCGAATTAGAGTGCACTTTGTACACTGTAGCAATTCAGAAAGGGTTATTCTTTCTTAGCTATCTTTCTTGCTCTTTTATGCATTATCCAGAAATAAAGAGATGGACATAAAACTCTTAAGTATATTGCACATTTTGGGACAAATGGAGCTATTACTACATCTTTCTCCTGCTTTAATACTGCTTTCAAAATATAGTTTGCTACATATTCTGGAGAGTATCCCTCTTCTGTAGCTTGGTCCATTGCTATAATAATATGTTTTATATAGACAAATATTTGAATAAAATTTAATATTTTTATTTACTAACCTCCATAAATCTGTCCAGTTCCTGTTATTGCATTAAGAGAAATAGCAGTTTTTATATAACCAGGACTGGCAACTGTAACTTTTATATTCTGATCAGCCAATTCTGCTCTGCAACTATCACACCATGCTTGTAATGCGTGTTTAGAAGCAGCATATGCAGACCTGACATAGAAATTGTACACTTCTTTAAAAAATAATTTTTAATAAGGATTCCATTAAACATAAATGTAAAATATACATACCTGTATGGAATTGCAATTCTTCCTTGTATACTACTTACACATACTACATGACCAGACTGTTGCTTTATCATATATGGAAGTACAACTGCAAAGTTATAAATGTTTAAAAAAAATGTTGCTTGTTAATAATTCTTACTGTACCTCACCTTTTGTCAAAGCAATTTGTGCAAAATAATTTGTAAGCATTACTTTTGTATCTACATTCACATCAGTATTAACCACATCCCCTCTGTAAGAAATACCAGCATTATTAATGAGAATATCAATCTTTCCACAAATTTCTGTTATTGATGCTACTTCAGATTGGAGAGAGGTCATATTTGTTATGTCCATTGTCAAAACTACAGGTGGATAAGTTGTCACTGTCTAAAATTAAATCAGTTAATGAAACAGAAATTTATAGGAAAAGTTTGCTAATAAATCTGTACATACAACATGAGTATTCATTAATGCACTTTTTACTCTTTCCAGTTCTTCTTTCCTTCTAGAAACTAAAATAATTTTACAACCACAATCATAGAAAACATGAGCTAGGGCTTCTCCTAATCCTGAGCTGGCTCCAGTTATCATGACCACCTAAAATTCAAATTCTCCTTAGTATCTTGTAATTTTTATACAATGAAATTGTAACAAAGTACAATTCACCTTCCCACTCAGAGCAGCTTTTCTCCGTTTTTGTTGCATAATATCAAAAAAATTATATATTAACCATGGAATAGTTATTGAAAATCCAAATAACTTGAACAACCACCATATAAGGTGCCAACCCTTTAGTGATTCTTCTTTCATGTTTCTAATTGATTTTGTACGACAATGTTAACAAATTATCAACTTTTAATGATTTCAATCACCAAAATTGACCTTTAGACTAAATCAGAATTAATTTGTCTCTGCCTCTACTTAGAATGCTAGTGTCTCTACTAGCAGCAGTGACGCCAAAACAAAGGCATGATGCTCAATTTTTCCGTATCTCTATTCACTGCTGCTACATAATCTTTCTGTAATTCTGTAATACACATAGTTGATAAATTTACAATGAACAGGGTCGGCAAAATAAAAATCTATATTATCCTTACAAGGCAACTTTCTACTTCGTTAACTTTGTTGATCACCGTCAGGTAACGCCAGCAGTATTCTTTTAAATATGCGCGTTGATACAAAATTAAAAAACAGTTTGCATTCATATAAATAGTACAAATACTATGATAATATATTTATAATACTAAACGAAAATTTTGGATTTTTTATAGGTGATTAATGAAATAGAATAAACGATTTTTATTTGTAATTTGCAAATCTATTTTTCTACATGTCCCATGAAATATAAGTACAGCCAGATTTATCTTCTAAAGGTGAATCCTTTTCGGCGGCTCTTTATGTCAACCAACTGTTGTGCTTGTTTTTTAAGAGTGTTCCTAGTTGGTATCTCTTCTTCTTCTTCCGAAAGTATCATTGCTGGTATTGTTGAAGATGGAAATCGTGGAAAAAGCGGTCCTCCTCCATTCGAACGTGCTACTTTTCCCTCTGCCGATGTCGTTGTCATCGATACCGTTTCCACCTAATTCAGATATTTTTGCGAAGCGAACGAAAGTTTTAAAAAATCTTGTCTGAATAAAAATTATTAAGTGCTCCGGATTTATTTTCTTCTACTTATATCAAGTCATTTTATTTACAATAATGATGTAACTTGAAACATACCTTATCAATTACAACTTCGTTCAATACTTCGAGGTACTTATCTGGCCCTCCTAAGGTATCAATTATGCTCTTCGATTTTTCATTCATCAAATCTATCAGTTCCAAAGGATTTTCGATTTCGCTCGGCTCCTCAGGCAAGGTATCAATTATATCCTGAAATTGAATTCGCGATTTTCACTAAAAATTATTATATTATGAAAATTGATTGAAGAACTTAAATTCTTCTTCAGAATTATCGTCCAAGAGAAGAAATTTCTTTAACGTTCGAAGACTCCCATGTTCTTTCAGAAAGACGAATTCTTTTCCATTACTATTCCATGTTTGTACACGCCCAGCAGAGAATTGAAAGAGGACACAGAGAATCGGGAAGGTGAGTTAACGAGTTAGGGTGGCACGTACGGATTTCTAGGGATCGATTGAATCAATAATTGATTTTCTCGCGGTCCCGACGTGCTACCGAAGTGTTTACTTTCGATCGAACGCGAAGGTGTTAATGCGTAGGACAGCGGCTTCTTCAGGTGAGAATTACAGGTAGAGATCGTTGAAGAAAGTTCATTGGTGAATGACGAACGAGGAGGATGGACGTCGATAGGGTGTTAAATCCCGAGAGACAATATAATTGGTACGGAAACTCGAAGCGGTTCCATTACCGTAAACGCCATCGAACCTGCCTTTACTAATTTAATTAGGAATTTACACGGTATTTCCATCGACCATTTTAACCATCACACCGGCCATTCCGATGGAAGTTGATTTTCTGTACGCATTCCTTGAAAAGTGTTAATTCAAAGCGACATCCTTTCGCGTTTATTGAACGAACGTATGTTAATTAAAAACTTTACGTTACAACAAAAGCTAATTACCGATTGCGCCTCGTCGTAAAGATAAGATCAACTGTCTATAGATTTGAACTAGAAAGGTAAAACTTTTATTACGAATTACTGCAAGGGAGATGATTGAAACTAAGATTATTTAAAACGAAAAAAAAAAAAATTTGTTTATTTCTTTCATCGATGATTCAAGAAAGGGTTACTCACTCGAAACTTATTGCATACGTTCCACAACGTGGTAGTTATTTCTCGTAGAAGATCCTCGATCCTTTGTCTTTCCGTTTCTGCCTTTAATTGACGCGATCGTTGCTCACCGATCTGACCGTTCAACGTTTCTACTTCTTCCGCGTTTCTAAGATGCATGGTGCGCAATCAAAAAGGTTAAGAAACGTAGGATAAACGTTGGCGAAGGAAAGGAAGGACGGATGGGGATGCTTACTGTTCCGCGTTCTTCGTTTCCGAGAACTTTTTCGTTTCCATTTCGGCGAGGAGCCGTTGTCTTTGCTTTTCTAACGCCATTTTCTCTTGCTCCGTGGCCAGTCGCATTTTCTGTAAATTATCCTTGGTCGCCCGCTGACCCAGAAACCGGTTCAGAACGTCCTCGGTCCTGGACACTCCGGTCGCGCTGCGAAGCTTGGAGAACGCCTCCTCCAGTCGTGTCACCTCGTCCTTGGTAATGTCCTCTGTGGACACCACGCCACTTTTCCCACGTGTGTCAAAATCGTCTCGAGAACGCGAATGGAATATCATCTTTTCCAACCGTTCGAGTTCCGTCTTTCGTTCTAACACGCGTCGTCTACCGTTCATCGAATTTCATCAAAATATATAAAAAAAAAGAAAGAAACGTACAACACTTATCTCAATTATTTATTTCTAATTTTAATATTATTCATGCGTTCGAACCTGTATTCCTCGAGTACAGCATTTCGTTCTTTACCGCAATTTGTAACTTCAATTTCCTCCTTTATCAACGTCTCCTGCGTGTTATCTCTTAACGTAATCGCTTCTTCCTTCACTCTCTGCTTAGAACATGTTCACGTTGATTTCGTGTCACTATGAAAATCTTGTAAAGCAATATTTCTTTGAACGATCAAACTCGTAGCTTGCCTGTAGACGTTTCATTTCGTTTTCCTGTTCTCTCATCTCGTACTCCAAGTTCTTCAAGGAGGACGCGTAAAAGACCGATTTTTCTTTCAAATCGGAACGCATGGAACGATACTTCATTCGCACTATGTTCGCCTTGATCTGCATCATTTTGATGTGCTCCAAACGTACCTCCAGTTTCACAATTTTCTGCCAGAACATTAGTCGACGATAAGTATCTAAATAAATGAATAACGTATTCTTCTCTACCCCTGACTCACATTTTTTAATGGGTTCTCCACCTTCTTCTTAAATATTTTCTGCATTTTATCATTCATCAATTCGTTGTACTCTTCGAGTAACAGATGTAATTTCTGCTGTCTCTAAGAAATTATTTACGTCCAACTATAGTTGTACGTTCGTGCGAAGTAATCCTTAGAAGATTGTTATCTGGTTGCTTACCCTCTGGCGTTGATATTTAATTAGATCGTGCCTCTTTCTTAAGCGTACATTGTCCTCCTCCGCTTTAGCAATTGTCTCGCTTAAATTGCGTTTTTTCTCATGAGCCGACGACTTGCGACTCATGTGAACACTGCTCTCCGATTTTCCCTCATTCTGAAATACATATCGCGCAAGGTACAGATTCTTCCCTTAATCTTTCTTCCTTTCCTCCGTTATAATATTACATTTTTCAAGTTTGCATACTCCGCGTAAAGCTCCTTAACCCTTTGCTTAAGAGACCCGATGCTCTCCGCGTACTCGTGCTTCTTCGCTTCGTACTCCTCGAAATTCGCTTTTCTTTGTCCCTCTGTGAACGCAGGATACACGTTTCGTTATTAACACGTCGTGCCTGCTGCACGAATCTTGATAAGCATCTATTACTCGTTGGCAAGACTTATGAATAAAATCTTTCCACCTATTCTCTATACGGGATTTACGCGGCTACGGAATGTCGTTTCACATCGGGATGCAACTCTATTTGTCAATACGTTGAATTTCCATCGTATACATCCGACTACGAGTTATGAGAGTGTTCGCAGCGTGTATGTATGTCGAACACGTGAAAAATCATTAAAGCGATCTTGGAGAGGAAGGAATGAAAGTCTCCGGGTCTTCAGAGAAAACTGCGAAATAATTTACTGCTTGTACGACCACGTTCCCGTTATGCTTTCTTGTCAAATCAATTTCCGAGTCGAGTGGAATTCCATCGTTTTCCCTTTTTTTTTTTTAAATTCATTTTCTTGCATATGCATTAAGGCAATAGAACGGTAATTAAGCTATAAATCAAGATAAGACTGTTTCCATAATAATAGCCAAAGGATAGAACAAACACGAGTCGTGACTGAACTCGTGTTCGCGATGCCCTGATCATCCTATTTTGCATGTACACTTTGAAAAAACAGAATTACCTAGATTATCTAAATTGATGTCACGAGGTCTCTTAAAAACGACTAGTTTCTTTGAGGAATTTCCTAATACCAGACTGTTAGTTGTCTTTCTAAACTGTTAAAAAAAGAAAAAGAAAGTAGAAAAGCGAAAGGACCTGTATTTATTTTAAACAATAAAATTGAGAGGGAAATGATTTAGAATTTATTATGTTTATTTTAGCATGAGGAGGTAACATTAAAATTATCAAGTAAGAAATAATATTTCATAGCAATGTTCGAGACCGTGAATTAAAATGATGCTTGGACTTGCTCTGCTACATTTAATAGAAACGCTAACTGGAATATCCATTTTATAATTAACGTTTGGATAGCTGTGCGTCGATAAGCCAGTGGAGATTTTCTTTCTTTTTTCCAGAGATCCACTTATGTGACACGAACGTTTCTTTCCGAACCTCTAGTCTTTCCGGTTAAACGTGTTCTTATGTACCTTCGTACGCAATCAGGAACTTGCTTGTGAAATAAACGTTAACGGATTGTTTTATTTTACGTGATTATACTAAATGAACAGCAACAGCAGGGCAAATACACGAATATTAAAGGCTGATTAAGTAAACTGATTATAGTATCGTTTAAAGTAAGAATTTACCTGACAGCTGGATCTTTTTCTTGATTTCGGCGATTTTCTTATTCAAATCGTTCAATTTATTTTCTGCACTGGATACCAAAGGATTGGACATGGTTTTGCAGGTATTCACGAAGATTCACATGGTACTTATCGATTTAATAGTATCTTACGTCGTCCTGACGACGATTTTACCAAGATTTTAATTCCTCGCGCCATGCGCAAACGAACTATATTGGATTATTTCATTTTACTTTATTAAACTTCGTATTAAATTTGAGAATAATATTTTCATTTTTGTAATATTAAAAGCTTTGGAAATTTGCAATGCTACGAAAGAAAACTCCGTAGCTGATGATGGCGTAAGATTTTGCGCGACAACGCATCGCTTGGGCAGATGTTTGCGGTTCGATGATAGGGTTAATCGTTCCATTAATAAAAACTAACGACCGGCTCGTATTTACAGTTTCGTGCGCGTATCTCGTGCGTTTCGAGATGACAAAGGGGAAAGCAATTCGTAAGACTTCGCCTTGTTGAATGGACTTAAGAGAGGGAGAGGGCACCGAATTATAATTCCGCATTTGTATTCGTTAAGGCAGCAGCCGCGCCTGGCGGCTGCTATACTGGCGATGAATTTCGCGTTACACGCAATCAACCGCTGGAAGGTTAATTAATGATCAGACATTCTCGGCCAGTGCTCGACGGGCCTCATACACATCGGCGTCTTGCCACTTTATAACTGACCACGTTCGTTGCGTTCCGTTTGCCGCTTGAATTCTAGACAAGCGTCACGCGTTAGATTTCAATTCAACGGAGAATCAGGGATTCGATTTGCATTTACGCCTCGATTTCGCGAAACCGAGTGATAAACAATCAACGACAGCTGAGAAAAATAGCCTAGAGTCGTGCGATGTCATAGTTAAAGTGCTTATAGTTTAATATTAGCTTAAAATATTTCATAAATCGTTTATAACATAATATTAATTGCAATATTACTGAATATTAAGGTCCCAAATGAAACTATTCAGATATTTAATAAATTCCATTGGCGCCAATTACTTTAAAGTTGTGTTGGGGTTCCATTCTATCGGAGCTGAATTCCTATTGGCTGGAGTAGTCCGCCATCTTAGGACCGCGTAGTAATACATCAGTCCCAAGCAGGTGCGCGCGCACCGGGGAACTACTTTCAGCGCGTTAAGCGAACAATAGGGACCCCAGAAGTGTTTCGGACGCGGTCGTGTTCGTGTACGGTTGCCGTATGCTTTTTTCTCTTGTTGCCTCGCGTAAATGTGCATACACTTTTGCTAGACGTATCCGGAGGTGACATAGATTACGGACGATGTGCGTGGTCAAGTGACGGTACGCGAATTTTATACTGAAGTGTGCCGAAGTGTTCGTTCTCTCTAGTGTGTGCACCCGGGCCTCGATGAGTGTGTGTCTATTCGACGTGTGTGGATAAAATTCACGGCATCATGTTGCCACGACGAAAATTGGATTACACATCGATGGCGTGCCTCCTCCTGACTCTGCTTGTGCTCGTTTCTCTTCCCGCTGTATCTGGTAAGTCTAATAACCTATCTTTTATCTCAATGTATTCCCTCCGCGTTTTCTCGCCATAGTCAATTTGAAGTCGTTGTACGCCACATGTCGCTGCTAGGCAACAGGTCACCTAACAAACGCTGAGCGCCGGCGCAATAGACGCTTAAACATTAAATGACATTTCATGTTTTTCTCGAACGTTTTCTTCGTTAAATATTTCATAAATCGTTGGAGGTTAACGCGTCAGATGATCGGAAAACGATTTCGTTCGTGTAATTTGTATTCTGAAGTGATGTCGGAATCGTGGTGCTCCCTTTCAATTACTACCTGTCTCAAAAATATTGACCATGTCAGTCGGTTCGTGCTGACTGACGCTTCTCTTACTTTTTCGAAACGAACGCTTACCGGAGTATTTTGTTTTTCTCCCATCTTTATTAAATACATAGAAATTTTCGAGATTGAATAACAGGGAGATAATGTCACTAGTAATAAAGTACAAATTATTAACCTAAAATGGAGTTTTGCTTTTGTCGATGTTCGAAGAGAAAGTCTTCCTGTTATTTTATTTTCATTGTACTGTTAAGTGTACGTGTATCCTAGCGTTCTCGAACACACGTGGTTATGTTACGGTCACAGTGGTGTTCATTTTCGATGTTCCTCGATAAACGTTGGTAAGGTTAAGTTGATAGTCCCTGAGGGACAGGTGCCCAACCCCGCTTTCCAGGAAACGAGTCTTCCTTCCCTCTTATGTACACGTAAACATCCGAACCAGCATTTCGCGTCCTCGTTTCTTCTCCAACATTTTTTCACAAATACTAGATTAGCTCGGTTTTTTGTCACTGAGAATTTTGAACAGGAACAAAATCTTCACTGTTCCTTTATCTCGCTGATTAGCATTACAAATAATGATACATAAATCACATAAATTTTACAGGAAAGTGTTCATCATCAATTTTATAATGCAAATCTGATTGCACGTTTGTATATTAATGAGAAATTTGTCAGGAATATATTAAAGCTAAACAATTATTAATTTAATTAATCAAAAAACAGGATAATTTGATAAATACAGGTATAAAGTGTAATTCCAAGCTTATTTTAAATCATTTCTGGTATTTAGTGTATTTGCTGCTATTTTAAAGAGCGTGAATTTTCATTTTCACTTCTCTACAAAACATAAATCTCTATTACCTGTGATGTAATACCAATGAGGGCTTAGGCGGGAAAAAGCGTGCAGTCGGAATGGGGCAATTGAGCGAACAAAGTTAGCAACGAATAGTGAACAATTATCAAATTATATTGTTTATTAGAAACATAAATAGAACCGAAGATTTTTCAATTTAATTTCTATTTTCTTTTTCACGAAATATCAATAACGTTCCACGAGACGTAACCCAGGTAGATCAAAAATATTTCATTTGAATTAAAAATGAAATTCAAGAGCTTGACATTTTTTGTTATGGAACTTCAATATCAGTCGGTAATCAGAATATTGAATACCAGAGGCGTTCCCGGCGATAATAAATAGATCTCTAATGCTATCTAATAAAAATGAAATATCTTTCGGTATAGAAAGATTTCATTCTGGAATGTTCTCCGATTGAGTCGGCTTGGCAGTCGCTTCCGAGAGCGTACCGAGGACCTCGCCTCGTGCCCGTTGCTTTGCGTTCAGATACTCTGAATGCGGCATGGCGGCAATTCTCCAGACGTTCGCCGTTCTTACGTTCTCAGGCTTTCTCTTCTCTCTCTCCTTAGGAGAACGATTCGCCCAGACTTGACGGGCTTTCACAGAAAACCACGCGTCGTCCGCGAGCCGGCACAGGTATCGCCTTCGTTTTCGCGGATCGAGATCAATTTCCATTTCACCCGAAAATATCGAATATTTCTACCCGTGGAATCAGCATTCCACCTTGTGTATACCCTCTTAAATATCACGCATAACCCTCATGAATATGATAATAATGGTAGGCGGTACGGAATCTCTGCTCTCTTTCGGACGATCCGATCGAGGAGAGGATGACGATGTGATTCTCGCTGGTAAGGGCGTCGATATTGATTCATCATTTGCATATCTCTCACGAGTCACTTTGCTCGTTCAAGATCTCTCGACTTTCGGCCTATGGATACGTGATTAACATTTTCTTCCTTTCGAATCGAATCGTCGCGTCGTGTATCTGGTAGGATGGTAGAGACACTGGAAACCACGGTTTAGAATCCGACGTGCGATCGAGCCGCAACCGGTTCCCCCGTTCCCTTTCATCGATTCAGGGGGCTACACGTGCATGCACATGAATGCAACTGGCGAGGAACGCGTGCACGAGGATAGCCCGAAGTCTGGCGAACGTCTTCTCCTGCCGTTCACTCGGCAGGCAGCCGAGAAAGGTCACAATTTGACGATCGTTCTCGACCAGCCAACAACGCGGCAACAGGTTTCACTTTCGAGAAAAAAAAAAATATTGTACGTTAATTTGCTCCGGGGGCACGATCGCTCATTTATACCTACGCTCCTTGATAATTCGTAAGATTGTCTCGGATGAATTGGCTGCTAGGCAAACCGGCTCTCGTCTCAATCAACTTTTCCATCGGTTCTTCTTATACCTCGTTGCACTCTCGTATTCGATGACATAAGAATACTGTGAAATACACAGCATACTCGTAGGAAACTCGGTAGTTCCACGCTAGAGAATAGCATCTTAAAGAGCCGTTCGGTCTTCAGGTTCGACGGGTAGCAATATTTTTCCCCTGTTCCTCGAATCGTCCCGTTTTCTCCGTCAAGTAGGATGGTCAGGACATTGAAGAGAGAGAAAGAGCTGAGATATCTGGCCGGTATCTCGCGGCATCTGTTAACTAAAAGGGCAGGATCTTCCTCGTCGCTTGCGCCGACCCGGCCTATACACCACACGACCATTTGCATTCGTCTTTAAAACCCTTTACCCCGTCCCTCCCTTTTCTCTCCGTTGTTGGCGCATAGCGTAAAACCGCATAATTAAGGACCTTCGCTACCGTACGTCCATCCGTTCCTTCCGTTCCTTCTTACCTTCCTCTCTGTCAGTTAGCCTCGCGTCCTGAGATTCAACGTAGCGCTACTCGGTATCGCGCAGGAATCGAGGATTGTGCCGTCAGTCAGGGACGGGACAGTCGGGAGTCCTTATAAAGCACGAAAGGATCTATCCTCTGCCAGTGGCAGTATGTAGATTCCGAGAAGAAGTTCGCTTGACTAGTAGAAAGAAGGATCTCTCGATAGGCAGGAGAAACAGGAAGACTTCTCGAGTGGTTATGCGCGTATATTCTTCACCCGTCCTTCGATTGCTCGCTGATAAGCTTGAATTGGATCAGCAATTCTTATCGTTCCAAAGATCTATTCTTATTTTCTTATAATAGAAAGGTAGGGATTAGATGAAATTTTATCGAGCTTGTAACAATAGACCCGCGTTTTGTCAGCTGTTCGTTTGAATTTGACGAATCGGTTTATTCGATAATTGGATGGTTGAAATAGGCTTATCGCGAGAGTATACGGTGTCTCGAAGGTAAGATACACGGTAGAATGGCGGCGACAAAAGGTGCATCGAAGTCGTCGCGAATGAATGAAGTAACAATCGATTCGTCTTGACTCGAAGCCGATTGTGTTAGTTCCACGGCAATTATGAATTCACTTAGAACGCGTTGGTAAAGGGGTTCGATGGAATAAGTAGGCTTGAATGGTTCAACCTCTTTCATCGGCCGCGGGCATAATCGTCGCCTCGCGACTTCGCGAGCGTGGAATTATTCAGCCGGTTGCCGTGTTTTCTCACAAGTATTAAGCGTTCGTTCGCTCCGATACGGGAGAGAAGATGCGCTTTAATTTCCTATCGTTCTCGACAATCTCGACGAAAGAAAAAAACACGCGAACTGTTGCAATCTGGCTGAGAAAAAAAAAAAAAAAAAGAAAAGAAAAAAAATGA